ACAGAACTTGGATTATCCGGTAGAGTTCCTAGCTGCAGGGGTGATAGAATTTACGATGGGTTCCTGGCGGGGGAATCGGTCTATACAATTGCACCAATTCGCCCTCTTTGAAGACGCTTTTTCGACTCTGTCAATCGTAGGACCTCTTTTGTCTAGCGTATGCTTTCTTCAGCTGTCTGTGCGCGGCATCAAACACTTTCCTGAGGTTCTCCTTTAGTTAAAAGACGTACTAAGGCGCATTATCCTTGCCGGTTTCTCACGAGGGAGCAAATTGTCGGTAGGAATTCTCATTTCACGGCCCATGAGCATTTTGAATGGTGAGACGCCAGTCGAGGTGTGAACAGAGGCTCGGTAGGCGAGGAGGGCTCATCCTAGGTATACATCCCAATCCTCGGATTATTCCTCTTTGGTAAAGGCCTTCAATCAATCGACAAGAGTACGATTTGTTCTCTCTACTTGCTCATTGCCCTGTGGGTGACTCGGCGTCGTACGCGTCTCACGGATTCCAAAGCCTTTGCACAACTCATTGAAGAGACAACTTTCGCAGTTCGCCCCTTGGTCACTGTGTGCGGAATCAGGCACACCTTGTTGGCAGATCCAACGATTGAACAATGCGTTCGCGACCTTGATGAAGCAGTCTACCATCACCAAAGTATAGCGGTTTCCTCTCGGAGTGGTGGGAAGCAGACTCATGAATGTCTACGCCTACTGGCTCCCCTCGAAAGTCCATCGGCATCGGCTGCAGAGGAGGTACTACCACCGTGCGAGTTGAGTTCTTCAGGTTGGTACACGTAACGCATGTGCAACAAAAAGCGGAGACGTCCGATGTCATCGAAGACCATCGAAGACCTCTTCCTTGCGGCGTTGAGCATCTTCCTGCCTCCACATGGCCAAGGTGCTCATGCAGTTCCAACAGTGGTGACTGCACCAAGAAACCGGATATTACGAGGCGCTTAGAAGCTGTCTCATCATCGCCATTGCTTGGCTCTCTTGTTCGCCAAACTCGTCTCCTCAACTGTGGACTGAGCTGAGGACGTCCTTAGCCTGTCATAGACTAAAGCTGTATCGAGGTCGGAGATCTGCATGGTTCTCCAGGGATGGA